TTCTGGACGTATTTTACGCAAAAAATTACAAGATATATTTATAGCTTTGTAGGAATTTTACAAAAACTTTTTTTGAAGTCGAATTTGGAACAAAAACGTCAACGAATAAAAGCCAAAAACTTGAGTGAGGTTTTGCAAAAACTTAACGCCCAACGCACTCACGATTAAAAGTCTCATGCTCTACCGACTGAGCTAGCCGGGCTGTGACGTAATGTGGCTGTTTCTTCCACATAATCGGCTAAACTGGTAAACAGATTAGGCAACAGTGGATAATCAGGTAGGCCTGGGTAACTCAATTAATTTTTATGAGTTGGCGCAGTGCCATGCAACTGACTTGGAGCGCCAACGCAACGCAGTAGCTCATTTCCGTTTCTGGGAAAATATTGATGACTTTTTCCCCTTGTTTTTAGATTTACTTTACAGGCTATTTATCAATAATATTTTGATCATTTCTTCAAAATTTCAAAACCGAATAATTTTATTCAGTTTTTTATCGAAAGTGATTTTTAAGTTTAAGATTATCTTGAAAAAAACGGCCAGAGCAAAAGTTTCGAAAACAATTTTTTGGAAACTTCGCCATCCTCATCGCTCTGAAGAGTTTTCAAGTTTTTTTAAAATGTCGGGTTATTTCAGTTTTCTACTCAAAAACCTTTAAATTCTTTCTACGCAAAAAACATGTTTGTTACTGTGTATGTTTACTTAAAATACTGACAATCTTCAGGAATTTTCTGTGAAAATTATAAAATACATTTTATTCGAACACTCGGCTCCTGAACAGCTTTGTAAAAATTGTTTAGGAATCTTTTCCAGCTTGGAATTTTGGACAAAACTCTAATAATTTTTTCTGGATTTTTTTCCAAAAATATTTCCCCGAACAGAACAAGTGAAAGTTTAAAGTCAACTATACGAAAAACGGTTTATTTAAATTTCGGTTACTTCACTTTTAGGTCAATATTTCTACGTGTTTTTCAGAAGTTTTCCTGTAAAATACTGGCAAATGGAGAGTCTTTTATGCAAAAAAGTTAAAAGATGGATTTTCAAGAAAAGTCGTTGTCTTTACAGTTTGGTCTTCTTTACCGTCTTTTTCGAACACCCATTTTACCTTTGAATTTGAGACAAAATTGAAATAAAGTTATCGTGTATTTTTTTCCAATTGATTTTCTCCAAAAACGACCAAAAAAAGCAAAAGCATCAACATTTGGAAAACTCGTCACCCTCATTGCTCTGATAATTTTTAAAGTTTATCAATCAAAATTTCCTGACTTTCCCGTTTTAAACCAAATAGTTTCAAGCAATCGTACCCACAAAAGCAATATGTTGATGACTGCTTTTAGTTAGATGCTCAATTTCCGTCAACGGCCATAAGTTATAACTCATTAACTCAGAGAGCGACAACGACTTAGTGTTGGCGCACTAAAACCGACACGGCTTGACGCGTCAGAACAACTCGTCAGCGCATTTTATGAGGCAACAGGCGCGTTTAATCTCTTTTTAGTTGGTTTCATTGAAGCCTATGACTGACTATGAATGGAATAAATGAAGTCGCAACATATTTTTTTGTTGTAAAACGTAGTTGCCTCACAAGAGAATTTTTTCGGAAATTCCCGAAAGTTCATGATGCTTTTGCTGAACGTGCAAGTCACTCCGAATGTTCGTTCTTTTCCTTGTGCCTTTAAGGACACCTTAAAATAAGCGGTTTCATCGGAAAAAAATCCCGGACGGTCCATAAATTAAGCCAAAAATCACTCACAAAATTGGAGGAAAATCACCATCTTCACGACGATGAAGTTATAGTGTATTTTTTCGACAAAATTTAGGTTTTCTCAAAAAACGACCAGGGAAACCAAAAACATATAATCAATATTTGGAAAACTCATCAAAATTTCCGGATTTTCCCGTTTTAAACCAAATAGTTTCAATCAATCGTATGCGCAAAAGCAATATGTTGATGGCTTTTTCTGTTAGATGTTAAAATTCCGTCATCGGCCTTGAGTTATAACTCATTAATCAATGAGTTAAAACTTATTAACTCAGAGAGCGACAATAACTCAAAATACGACGCAACACAGTGTTACTCAGACCTATCCTGGTAAGCTAAAGACTTCTTATCTTGTTAACCTGAGGGTACTGAACCACTCCATTGTGAGAAACTGAGTGTGAAAATATAATAAGCGTACAACTGTTATGGTACCAAAAATGCGATATTTTATGAGCGCGGTTTTTTTTGTGTCAAAAATCCACAATTCGGAGGAAGTTTTTAAAAAGCACTCAATGGATGACGCATTGGAAACTCGAGAATCGCCCGCCTACTCTTGTGACCTCACAGTGACTACTCGTCATTTTCACTTCTTTGACATATTTGACCGCCAGTTTGGCAACCACGAATTTTTTAGACCCGTTCCAGCCCCTGTCAAAAATATACAAAACTATTGTCTTCTTGCCAAAAATCCCCGAAAAAACTCTGCAATTTCGCGTATTTTTATCCGATTCGATTAATTCGAAATTCGGCCATCAATAGAGCGCGCCTAACACAATAATAAATTGCTGGAAAACGGTTATTTTATGCTCAAAATGTTTTAATTAACTAAAAGTGGTGATTGATTTTCAGTTTAATTAGCAGCAACATTGAGGGAAAATTTCCGTTTTGATTGGATCGGTGCGGCCGCCGGAATCGAAATAAAGTAGCAGTCTGCAGGCAAAGATGGGAATTATTAATGATATATACCGGTAGATTTCCCGCAGGAGCCATAGGACAGGTCAGACTGTAAACTATGTGCACGGGATCTATACATATAGTCGTACAGCCAGCTAGGAATGTTATGTCGCTCCCTTAGGGGAATTCCTCCCATTTGCGGAGGGTTATTTAGAGCTGCGGAACCGCATTAGAATCTTTGGGGCGCTAATGCAAAAACTCCCTATCCCAAGATCGTTCACTTGTTTGGCGAAACATTGCGAAATAAATCCCATTATCTTTGCTCGGCGCACAACCGACGAATAATTGCGTGTTCATTATTTTTAAAAGCCTCTAAGCGCTCTTCCCGCCTGAGCACCAGACTCTGTCCGATTCAATGGAATTTTGCACATTATTTATCTCTATCGATTTTCCTGCCAGCGGCTCCAGCCTCTAATGGAAATGCCCAAAGGATAAGGTGTTGCTTTACAGCGGGCGCGTTTGCTGTTAAGCATTTGAAATTTCGGAAAAATTGCAACATTTAGCAACAATGAATGCGTTTTCGACACCAAAATCATCATTAAACTCAAACTGACAGGAAATAGCTGTGTGTGTGTCATACTCGGGTAAATTATGCCAGCAGACGCTCACTAGCGGGCCCTTAGATGACAAGAAGTGTTAAGTGTTTAGTGGGCGCTTCAGAGAGCAGGCAAAGTCAAAGTTGGCCCTGACAGCATCTGATGCCGCCAGGGGCAACAGAAAACAAACCCCATCGATCTGTCAGCCGTGTCTACTAACCTCAAACTGTCGCGATGTGTCAGCTAACAGGCCCCGTCAAGCTATAGTCCGATTTCGGGCCTTTCGCACCTGGATGGCAAAGAAACAATAAGCACTAACAATAATTCAGTCTGCTGTCGTTCGCGACGCCACTGAGGAGACGCGGTGGTGGCAACGCGATCGGACGGAATGAGGCGCCTCCAGCCACCCCCGGCCTTTTATATCCGGTGGGGGGGATGGATGCTGCGCGTTCCTTAGCAACCCAGGATCATAATCATATCGTACGCCGCCACACAGCCACCCCCGACCCTAAAACAACGGCAGGGCGCTTGGGTGGGGGCCGGCAGTGAGGGTTGGGGCAGAAACCCCGGGGGGGTGGTTGCTCTTTTACCGGCTCTCGCGTGATCGAAGTGACCTGGTATCGGTAATAAACGGTTACATTTATGTGCAGTCGGTGTATGGCGCTTAATTGAATTTCATCTCGATGCCGATCGATTCTCTATCGATCATTGAACTTGCACCCCATTAAGTGGCCCTGTCTGTTCGGAAGAACTGTTTTTGAAAGCTTTTTGGCATTGGTGTAGACAGGCCTTGCCCGCTCTCGCCCAATAGCAGCCGCGCTACCAGCGCATTTCCACGGTAACCAGTCGGTTTGTTGATAGCTGGTGGCTTGCGCACAGATTGTCCGCCCCAACGCCCAACCTGATAGCATTACCATAACGCTTGAAATCATTTGGGGCCCGATAAATGACTCAACCAACTGCCCCGATAGTACTTGAGCGATAAAAGGCGGCCATTGTACCCCCCAACACTTAACACACATACGAATATGGCTAGTTAACAAACAGATAAAACTGGAACCGACGGAACAGTCAATGGAGTTCCGGTAGGGAATGTTTTCGGAACGAGATACGTGGCGGAATTTCGGCAGATAACCGACTCGTTTTCACACTTTATATGCTGTTTAAAATATTTCAATTGTGGGGGCGCGAATGGGAAAAAGCGACCGGCTGTCCCCATCGTGTGTGGCAACATTACAGATTATACAGAGTGTTTTTTCAATCTCCCATTTCTTGGGGTAAACTTGTCTCACAAAAAAGCTAGACAAGAGGGTGACTTGGGTATTTCAAATCGGATCCACGAAATTTTACTGCAGATTGCATTAGCCCGCAAAAATGCTTTTTTATCTAAAACACTTCCCCCAGTCCTTCAATTTGCGACCAGTTTATTTACACGAAAGATTGATCGATCTGATCGGGGCTACCACCTGATAGGGCTAGCTTTGTCTCGTTTCCACACACTGCCGAAATTGAAACTTCCCCAACCTTGGGCGAGTTCCCCAACCTTGGCCCATAGAACGCAGTTGCAGATAACCTGTTTGGACATTGAACTGGCGATGGAAGAATCTACTTCCTGCTTAAGATATTGAAGGCCAGAAAACCAGCCGAGTCATTGTTGTTTCAATAACATTGTGGTTCCATAACATGTTAATGAGGAAATAAACTTCGGCCGTGAACCGCTCCCATTGTTTCCCAAAATATATAAGACCGCCCAGAGCATAAAAATCACTACGTCTTGACCGATTGTTTATGACACTGTTGGTGTCTGACCCACTAAGGTCCCGCCCAATCACAACGAAGTAGCAATTACAGTGATTGTTGATTAGTTCTTCAGTCGTAATGATCCTGCTGTTGCTCGTGGCTCATTCGTAAGCAGATTCGGCCGATTTTCTGCCATCTTAAACGACTGTGGACTTGCAGAGTTGCCGGGCTTCAAATGGCTCCTCCCACCGCCACTGTGGAACAGGGCAAGATCCAGGGAACCACCGGTATCAATCTGGATGGCGATGAGTTCTTAAAGTTCTTGGGAATTCCTTTCGCAAAGCCCCCCGTTGGCAATTTGCGGTTTAAGGTAGTTTTAAGCCGATTTGCGCTACCTGGAGGCTCCACATCMTCCGTTTTAGGCGCCGGAGGCTCCAGATTCCTGGCAAGGAGTGAGAGATTGCACGCGCGATGGCAACACCTGCATTTCCGTATACGGAGACCCTTTGAAAAGTTCTGAGGACTGTTTGTACCTGAACGTCTTCACCAAACTCCTGCCGGGCCCGGAAACCACGCCCAAACCTGTGATGGTGTTCCTGCACCCTGGCGGGTTTGTTTTGGGTTCCGGTACGCAGGATATGTGCGCTCCAGACTTCTTGATGACCGAAGACATCGTTTTGGTTACACTCAATTATCGCCTGGGAATTTTTGGTATGTTTTATGCGGAAGGAATATGTACATTTTTGCACGCATTTAAAAGTAAAAATCTACGAGGTTTTTTCCAAAAATCACAAATTTTCAAAGGGAAATTGCAGGCTTTTTGAGCTTTGACGATCCCGCACTGGGCGTGCCGGGAAATGCAGGCCTGAAGGACCAAACCATGGCCTTAAAGTGGGTGCAGAAGAATATTGCCGGTTTTAACGGCGACCCGCATCAGGTGACGATTTTTGGCAATAGTGCAGGCGGCGCTTCAGTGCAATTTCAAGTGAGTCTACCGGAAACTTAATTAAAATCTCCCAGTTCAATTTTTTATCAGCGTATATTAATTACACTGATCGGGCATGCTCGGGCAAGGTCAACCATATCCATCTCTTTCCCGCTAGTAGTTAAGCGGCTGCTGTTCCTTGTCATCGCGCGCGAACGGATCAGTTGAGAATGTCCATGATAAAGCGATCGAAAATTGAAGTTTAAAAACTTTTTACTTCACTGTTGCAGATTTTGTCGCCGACGGCCAAGGGCCTGTTCCATAGAGCCATCGCCCAAAGTGGCTCAGCTTTGAATCCATGGGCGTGGGGCGACAAGAACGGACTGGCAGCTGCGGAAAAACTGGGCTCTCAAGTGGCCAGTGACACTGAAGCTTTGCAGCTGCTGATGGAAGCTTCCACTGAGCAAGTGTTGAACGCTTCTCGCCAATTTACTGATGTAAGAGCCACTGTATTTACCTCCACCATGACTACAGTTTCGCTGTTTTTTTATGCAAAGAACTTGCTGGACTCCAGCCAAAGGCGACCTTTTGGACCAGTCATAGAACTCCCAACTCCTACCGCGTTCTTGACCAGAGACCCAGTAGATCTATGGGAAGCTGGGGAGTTCAATGATGTGCCATTAATGCTCGGTAATTACGTCTGTGACTGGGGATCATGGATTGGTTTCAGACAAAGAAGGAGATGGTCGTTTGCATGGGGAAAAGGGACGAATAAGACTCTGCTTGCTGAACGCTGACGCTGTTTTTTACAGGGGACGTTTCAAACGAAGGAATAATCTACGAGTTTGAAAAATTATTGAGCGGCAAGGAGCCTTCGATTGACCCTGTGGAAGCAGCTGTATCCTGGAAGTTTGGCCTAGATAAAGGCTCAGACAAGTTCCGAAGCGTCAAAGAACTAGTCCGAAACTTCTACTACAAAGATGGGGTTTCCAAGAAGAGTCTTTTTGAGGTAAGGATGATTTCAGTCAAAGTTTCCATCAGCTCAACGATTGAGGCTATTCATACAACAGGTTCTGAGCGACGTGCTGTTTATAGAGGGCGTGCTTGAGTCGGCTAGACTGCACCTAAGGAAAACCAAACACCCGGTACACTTATACGTGTTTTCATACAATTCGAGCTCGAACCGAAAGTTCCTGACGGCAATGGGCTTGGATGGTAAGCAATAAAATAATAAAAATAAATAAAACAGCTCGCAGAGGTTGAAACATCATTTGCAGACACCATCCAAGGCAATCCGCATGGCAGCGAATGCAGTTTTCTCTTTTCCAAGCGGCTCCTGGGTATCGACTTGGAATTGACTGAAGACGACTTCAAAGCCGTAAGAGAAACGGTGAAAATTTGGGCAAACTTTGCGCGCACTGGCCAGCCCCACCCGCTCTGGGACCCAGTGACGATCAGCAACAATCTGACGTATTTTTACATCGACCGGATGCCTTTGTTGAAGCAAAATCCGTTCGAGGACAGGATGAAGCTGTGGCAGCACATCAAGCTGCTGCTGTCTGAACAAGCCTGCTAGTAAGAGTGGCAAAATTGCCAGCCACCAGTTCAATTTTTCACCGGTTTAATGCAGCTCCGGGTGAATGAGGTCGTGACCTGGAACATATCCATCTCGCTCTCATTAATTAGTGAATCGGGGATAGGTGGTGTCTGCGCCCGCCCGGGGATCACGTTTGCCCTTAAAGCGGCGACAAGTTGAAGTGGCTGCGTTGTGATCCTGTGGAACTTGCAAATAAATGAAAAGCAGTATATTTTCTGAGTTCTTGGCGATTGAGGGCAACTGTTTTGAATAGTCGGTTGAAAACGCGGAAACACATGTGTGATAAATGCTCGACGAGTCATTTGCACCGAAAAAGCGGGCAAACAATCGGGCAAGGGTTATTTTTCAAAATGACACAAATATGGACTGTGCACGTCCCGAAATTTGCTTTAGTTGCAAACGAATTGTTTGCAGTTGTAATCTACACATAACGGACAAAGGGACGCCCGTTTTATTTAAATGAGTGGCCGAAACACCGTATATTTCAGCAGTGAGCGGCTGCCAAACCTAATTTCTCATTTCGGCTGTTGAAGTGACTCGGCAATTTAACACCAGCGCCGAAGAAACACACATAAATAGGCTGTCTATTGAGGTGTCACTAGCCGTTTAAAGTTCGCCCGGAAGTGGTGGTGAAAGTTCGTTTTTCCTCCTCAAGCGAAACTTTGCGTTCAGTTGAAACTTAATTCATTAGTTTATGTGGAAGGACATTGAAAGCCAATCAACCGGGAACGATTATCAGCTTCGCCTAGTTGCTCCCGGTACACGGGATGTTGGGTCTGGACTGGAAAGAGTATTTGCATAGATGGGCAAAAGAACTGTGTGAAAATGCCCAAACACAAACGCAGTTTGGCACAAGTTTGCAAATTTATTGGTCTGCGGCTTTGCCAAGCACCTAACATTCACACTTTGTACGTGTAAACGCAGCCACAAACCACCGGGAGTTTCCGATGCTGGACTGCAAAACGCACTGAAACGATCGAATTTTTGATAGCGCGTGCTGGATGAGGATATCCAGATATCCAGGAAAAACCAATGAAAAATCGCCAGTAAATTCGAATGGAGCAGCCAGGCTGGATTTCAGTCCCATTCTAAGCGTGTGAACTCGTTCCCCAAACCCAATCAATAGTGCTTTATTCCCTGACGCTATTTATTACCATTAAACATTTAGTGGAAAATATTGCGTTTTTCCGACAGTTCGCCGAGAAACCAGCCCCGATCTAATGGAGTAGAAACCGACCCTTGTTCCACAGCCCAAATCCCATAAACCTGCACAAGTTATCTGCGACCTAGAGGGATCTAGGCTAGCTGGCGAAATTGAAAGACTGTTTAACACTGAAAAAATACCGCAACTCTTCCAGTTTAGAATCGCGTCTCATCTGGATCGAAGGACATTTCCCTGGACGGATTTGCTGTTGAAACAATTGCGTTATTCCAGATTTATTTGTCTGGCATTTGCAGGTTTGTGACGTAATGGTTGAACATAAATCACGGTATTTCATCAAGTTATGCTGGTCTACATAAAGCCCGCTGCAAGAGTTACACGGTCGAACTAACGCTTAACAAAGTTTGATGACTGCGCCCGGCCACTGACAAATTGCACGAATTTTATCCAAAATTCGCTTCATAAAAAACAGCAATTTTATTGCAATGCAGTGGATTTGATCCAGGTTATGGGCAAGCAAAGACATTAATGGACATTAGGCGCACCCTGTATCAATTGTTATCACCTTAAAATAAACTAGACGTTCATAGCTACAACTTTTGTATCAAACATTTTTCTCTAAGTTTCAAATTAGATGGTCAAACGGGGTGGCCAAAGTTCAATCAACAACCCTGCACATAGTGAAACACCGCGCGCTCTCCGCCCTCTATCTCTAAAACGGTTTAACGTATAAAAAAATGTTTGGAACAAAAGTGGTAGAGAATTTCATCCACTACAATATTCCTAATAAATTTAAATACCGTAAAACTTACCGGAATCGAAATATTTGCAAAAAATGCGCAAATGCGGAAGTTTTTTTGACCGTTGACTTTACCGATCTACAGTTGCGTCCACACTATCATAAGTAGACATTGAGACAAGTATTCTTTGAATCAAAAGAAGACGATCTGACCTAACTCTTATTAACAAAAACCGTCAGGCTCCTCTGCTATTGATGGTCAAAATTATTCAAAAAAATTGTCTTTTTCGAAATATCGGGAGAATCGTACGATCTATTTTAGTGAAACTCGCTGTGAATTCGTTCTCATGTAAGACTCATATTTTGATGAAACAATCGAGTATCTGTTTTGGACAAGTGGAAAATTCTTGAGGGTCGTGGCACAAAAACTGCCAGAACTTTTTAATTAGTGGATGGAATCAACTAATTTTTTTTGGTTGATGCGCTAATCATTTAGTCACAATAAGGTCGGATCCAGGGGGGGTCATGGGGGTCATGACCCCCCCCCCCATTTAATTCTCTATCCAACGATGCCAAAACGAATTATGTGGCTCGAATGGTTCTTGAGAAACTTCGAAAAAAGCAGCGTCATGTTCAAGTGGATTTTGCAACTCAAATAAAAACCACGCAAGTCTAAAACTTCCTGAATTCAAGCCTTTTTTGAGAAAACTGCCAAAATTTCCCCATCCGTGGTTCACTTTCTAAAAATACCATTTATTTATCTCTAGAATGATGTACAAATGAGCGTTCTTGCTCATTTTGCCTCCGAGATACAAGCAAAAACGGGCCGGAAAATATGAAATTTTGGCATAATCTTGCACCTAAGTGTTTGATATTCAAATTTCGCTTTCTGGGCCAAAACTATTCGAATTTCCTCACTCACGTTGTTACGACTGAATCGAGTTTT